ACCACTACGTGGCTACCGCCTATGTTTACACAAAGCCCTGGGGCTCTACCGTCAGCCGGCAGTGAAGCCCGACAGGCTTGTGGCCTTCCCTTCAGGGTGGCAAGTTTCACCCGCCGCCCCCCCAGGCGGGTCTAGAGATGCTGTCCGGGAGCCAGGGACTGGAGTCAAAAACCTTAGAAACCTGCTTTGTGTTCGATTGTACTGCAGCTGAGCTGGCACTCACACAGTGTGACACAGTCCTCTCTACTGCTCCCTGTCCTTTCCACAGGCAGAGGAGCCTCACACCATGGCCGCCACCACAGGCCTACTGGGAGTACCGTCAGGACACCACCGGTATTCACTTAAGGCTCAAGGGTTCTCAACCAGCTTGTGGTGAATGCTGCCAGGCCGGAGACTCATCCTTCAGAACAGTGGGTTCCCCTCTGGCCCAGGGTTGGTCCGGAAAGGCCATTTAAGAGCTAAGGGCTGGAATCAGGGCACCCAAGAGCCCTCCTGGTGCTCTCCTCCATCGTGGCCAAGCTGGTGCCTGATTTTTGGTTGCTATGAAATTTTTCCCTTTGTGTAGATAGTTGTCAAACTTGGTGTTCCCGTGGGGGTGGGGGGGGGGGCGAGGGGGCGATGGATGGAGCCCTCTCTTTGCCATCTTGCTCTTCCCCTCCCTGATTTCAGTCTTTTAAGATGTATTAAAACTTGTTCCATTGCCTAACATATGGTCTTTCCTGGAGAATGTTCCATGTGCACTTGGAAAAAGTGTGGATTCTCTTGTTGCAGTGAATGTTTTGTGTATATCTGTCAGGTCTCCAACTGGTTTATAGTGTTACTCAAGTCCTCTATTTCCTGATTGATCTTCTGTCTGGCTTTTATCCATTATTGAAATCTGAGTATTGAAGTCTGCAGTTATTGTTGTAGAACTGTTGATTTCTCCCTTCAAATCTCTCGTTGTTTGCTTCATGTATTTTGGGACCCTGATATTTGGTGCACATATGAATGTGTGTCTTAAAACTTCACATATATGTGTATATATGTGACTGTATATATGTGTAGTCTCATTCAGGCCACAGCCTCCTGTAATTTTCCTTTTGTGTGCTGAGTATATTTTTAGGATTCATTCATAGGATGTGAGGTGCGATGTTTCCTTCCTTTTCACAGCTGTGTGGGGTTTCTTTGTATGACCAGCTGAACTACAACTTTTTCTGTGTCCTTTGTATTTCCATATACCTTTTGAAATCAGCGTTTCAATTTCCACGCACACACACACACAAGCCTGCTGAGGTTGGCATTGCCTCGAATCTATAAATCAATTTGGGGAAAATTGACATCATAACAACATTGGGTCTTCCTGTTCATGGTATTTATTTAGGTCATCTTTAACTTCTGTCAATATTTTGTAGTTTTCAGTAAATAGGTCCTGTGTATATTTTATCACTAAGTATGCCATGTTTCCTGATGCTCTTGTAAGTGGTATTGTTTTGTCTTGTGGTTGCCCATGGAGGGTGAGATCAACCCCCCACCACCGAAAGTTGGTTTGAAAGTTGAGACTGAAGACATCACACACACACCAAGTGGCTACAATAAGGTTTACTGGTCATGGAATGGAGCTTCACAGGGGGAGGGCAGGGCAAGCACCCAGGCTGGTCTGCCATGGCTAGTCCGTGAAGGAAAGGGCAAATGTTCCTGGTTTCTATTGTGGTTAGGGAATGGAGTCATGGTAACAGCCCCACACATGAATTGGATTTGTATGACTCCAACCTCCCCAGTGATACTTGGGGCAGGAATGCCAGGGCTTTTTTATTCACTTGCCCAGCTATGGGGCAAGAAGGGAAGAGGGAAGGGGGGAGCTTGAAAGTAGTCAGTAGTCAAACACCAAAAATGGAGTCAGGCTCTATTATGTTTTAAAAATACTTCTTAAAAAGACGGTTTTAGGCTCACAGCAAAATTGAGAGGAAGGTGAAGAGATTTCCCATATAGGCTTTGTCCCCACATAGACATAATCCTCCCATTAACCAACATCTTCCCACCAAAGTGGTACATTTATTACAACTGATAAACCTATATTGGCACATCATTATCACCTAAAGCCCGTAGGTTACATTACGATTTACTCTTGGTATTGTACACTCTATAGGTTTGGACAAATGTATAATGACCTATATCTACCACTATCCAGACAACAGAGTAGTTTCCTGCCGTAAAAATCCTCTGTGGTCTGCCTGTTTATCCCTCTCCCAGCTCCTGACAACCACTGATCATTTTCCTGTCTCCATAGTTTTGCCTTTTCCAGGATGTAATATCTTTGAACTCATATGGTTTGTAGCCTTTTCTGATTGGCTTCTTTCACTTAGTAATATGCTTTTAAGTTTCCTCCTTGTTTTTTGTGGTTTCCTGGCTCATTTCTTTTTAGCACTAAATGATATTCCATTGACTGGATGTACCACAGTTTATCCGTTCACCTACTGAAGGATGTCTTGGTTGCTTCCAGCTTTGGGCAATTATGAATAAAACTGCTATAAATATTTATTTTCTGGTTTTTGTGTGGACATATTTTTCAGCTTTTTTGGATAGATACCAAGGAGCACAGTTGCAGGATCACATCGTAAAAGTGTGTTGATTTGTACAAGAAGTCACCAAACTGTCTTCCAAAGTGGCTGTATTATTTAGCATTCCCACCACCAATGAATGAAAGTTCCTGTTGCTTCTCATCCCTGTCAGCATTTGATGCTGTCAGTGTCTGGATTTTGGCCATTCTAATTGTGTAGTGGTGTCTCACTGTTTTAATTTGCATCTTCCTGATGACGCAGGATGTGGGGCATCTTCTCATGTGCATCGTTGACATCTGTCTGTCTTTTTTTGGTGAGGTGTCTTTTAAGGTCTTTGGGCCATTCTTTTTTTTTTTTTTTTTTTTTTTTTTGAGATGGAGTTTCACTCGTTACCCAGGCTGGAGTGCAATGGCGCAATCTCGGCTCACCGCAGCCTCCGCCTCCAGGGTTCAGGCAATTCTCCTGCCTCAGCCTCCCTAGTAGCTGGGACTACAGGCATGCGCCACCATGCCCAGCTGATTTTTTGTATTTTTAGTAGAGACGGGGTTTCACCATGTTGACCAGGATGGTCTTGATCTCTTGACCTCGTGATCCACCCGCCTCGGCCTCCCAAAGTGCTGGGATTACAGGCTTGAGCCACCGCACCCGGCCTTGGGCCATTCTTTAATCAGGTTGCTATTGAGTTTTAAGAATACATTTATTTGTGTATTGACACAGTAATCCTTTATAAGATGTATCTTTTGCCCAGATTTATTCCTAGTCTGTGACTTGTCTTTTAATTATCTCGATAGTGTCTTTAGCAAAGTAGAAAACACACATTTGATTGTCCAGCTTGTCAATTCTTTCTTGCCTTTGGTGTTGTAATATAAAAAGTTATCATCAAACCCAAGGTCATCTAGGTGTTCTTTCTTCTGTGCTATCTTCTAGGATTTTTATAGTTTTATATTTTACATTTAGGTCTGTGATCCATTTTGAGTTAATTTTTGTGCAGGGCATAAGGTCTTTGTATTTACTTTGTGTGTGTGTGTGTGTGTGTGTGTGTCCAGTTATTCCAGCTCCCTTTGTTGGAAAAACTTCCTTGCTCTATTGTGCTGCCTTTGCTGGTTTGTCAAACGTCAGTTGACTATATTTATATGGGTCTATTTCTGGGTTTTCTGTTCTGTTCCATGGATCGATTCACCAGTAAGACACTGTTTTGTTTACTGTAGCTCTATAGTAAATCTTGAAATTGGGTAGTGTCAGCCCTCCAACTTTGCTCTTCACTTTGATTATTATGTTGGACATTCTGGGTCTTTTGTCTCTCCATGTATACTTTGAACTAGTTTGCTAATATCTACAAAATAACTTGCTGTGGTTTTGACTGGGACTGCATTGAATTTGTCGATCAGGTTGAGAAGAACTGACATCTTGACACTATTGAGCCTTCCTATTCACAAACATGAAATATCTCTCCATTATTTAGTTTTTAAATGTCATCAGAGTTTCATAGTTTTCCTCATATAGATCTTGTGCATATTTTGTTAGATTTATATCTAAGTATTTATTTCTTTGGGGTGCTTATTTGTTTAGAGACAGGGTCTTGCTGTCACATAGGCTGAGGTGCAGGAGTCCAGGCTGGAGGGTGGTGGCTCAATCATAGCTCTCTGCAGACTCAAGCCATCTTTCCAAGTAGCTAGGGCTACAGGTATGTGCCACCATGCCCAACTAATTTATTTTTTATCAGTTACTTATTTTTGTAGGGGTGGTGTATTTAGTCTGTTCTCCCATTGCTATAAAGAACTTTCTGAGACTAGGCAATTTATAAGAAAAGAGGTTTAATTGGCTCATGGTTCTACAGGAAACATGCTGGGGAGGCCTCAGGAAACTTACAATCATGGCAGAAGGGGAAGGGGAAGCAGGCCTGTCTTACATGGCTGGAGCAGGAGGAAGAAAGAGAGGAGGGGGAGGTGCTATACACTTTTAAACAACTGGATCTCATGAGAATTCACGCAATATCATGATATGCCCCCATGATCCAGTCACCTCCTCCAATATTGGTGATTACAATTCAAAATGAGATTTGGACAGGGACACAAACCCAAACCATATCAGATGGGGTCTTGCTATGTTGCCCAGGCTGGTCTCAAACTCCTGGCCTCAAGTGATCCTCTCACCTCAGCCTCCCAAAGTGTTGATGTTTTATGAGCCACTGTGCCCAGCCTGGGGTGCTAATTTAAATGACATTGTGTTTTTAAGTTCAAATTCCACTTGTTGGTTGCTAGTATGTAGGAAAGCAATTGGCTTTTTTATATTGACCTTGTATCCTGAAACCTTGCTATAATTGCTTATTAATTCCAGGAATTTTTTATTCTTTTAGATTTTCTACATAAATAATAATGTTATTAGCAAACAAAGACAGTTTTATTTCTTCCTTCCCAATCTGTATACCTTTGATTTCCTTTTCTTGTCTTATTGCATTTATAGGACTTTTCCAGTACAGTACTGAAAAGGAGTGGTTCAAAGGACATCCTTGCCTTGTTCCTGGTGTCAGCTTTGAGTTTTTCACTACCAGGTATGATGTTAGTTGTAGGGTTTTTATAGATATTCTTTACGAAGTTGAGGAAGTTTCCTTCTACTCTTGGTTTACTAAGAGTTTCTATCATTGATGGATGTTAAATTTTGTCAGATGTTTTTTCTGCATCTACTAATATGATCATGTGAGTTTTCTTTTTCAGCTTGTTGATGTGATAGATTACATTAACTCATTTTTGAATGTTGAACCACTCTTGAATACCTGAGATAAAGCCTACTTGGTTGTGGTATATAATTATTTCTATACATATTTGATTCAATTTTCTAATATTTTTATCTGTGTTAATGAAAGGTAATGGCCTGTAGTTTGTTTTTAATTGTAATGTCTTTGTCTGGTTTTGATATTAGGATGGTGCTAGCCTCACAGAATGAGTCAGGAAGTAATTCCTCTGTTTCTGTCTTCTAGAAGAGACTATAGAGTACTGGTATAATTTTTTCCTTAAATTTTTGATAGAAGTTACTAGTGAGCTTAGTCAAGCTTGGTGCTTTTTCAATTATTGATTCAATTTCTTTAATAGATATTAGTTTATTTGGAGTGTCTGTTTCTTCTTGTGTGAGTTTGACAGCTTGTATTTTTCAAGTAATTAGTCCATTTCATCTAAATTATCTGCTTTATAAAGATGTATTTCCTGATTATAGATAATTTTTCAATTTCAGTAAACTAGTAGAGGTTCTTTTCTCTTTCAGTATTTAAAGTTGTCACTCCGTTATCTTCTGGATTGCATGTTTTCTGAGAAGTTTGCTGTCACTGTTACATTTATGCCTCTGCATATGTTTCTTCTTATCTGGCTACTTACTGATTTTCTCTTTATTGCGGAGTTTCAGCAACTTAACTGTGATGTACTTAGATGTGTTTTTCTTTGTACTAATCCTGCGTGGGATGCCCTAAGCTTCTTGAATCCATAGTGTTTTGTCTTGCACTACTTTTGGGTAAGTCTCAGCAATTCTCTCTTCAAATACTTCTCCTCCCTTGTTCTCTGTTCTTCTTTCCCCCTGGCCCTCCTTCCCCACTTTCCCTCTCAGACTCCAGTGATCCATACTTTAGTTTGATACTGTCCCAGAGTTGTTGGTGGTTTTGTTTTTTCTCTCTTCCCCTCTTTCACTTTTTCCTCTCTTTATGTTTCCAGATTGTTTTCTGTGCTGTATCCAATTAAAAATTGTTCATCTCTAACATCGTATTTTTTCTTGCATTTCGGTTTTTTCCTACAGTTCTCAATGTTTGCCTGAAATTTCCTGTCTGTTCAGTATGTTGTCCACCTTTTCAGCTGTAGCTTTATAATGTTCACCTTGGTTATTGTGAAGTCTTCGTTTGATGGTTCTAACTTCTGGGTACATTGCTCCTTGGTCTGTTGCTGTTGACTACTTTATCTCTTGATAAGGAGCCATTTATTTGCCTTGCTTTTTTGTATCCTGATTTTTTTTATTGAATGCTAGACATTGTGTTTAATGGGATAGTGGGGACTGAGGTAAATAGTATGCTTAGCAAAGAGCCTGCCTTTCATTCTGTTGGGTTGTTAGTGTGGAGCATTGTTGGGTGGGGAGTGGTGTGGTGGGCTGCTACTTGCTGCTGGTGTGGGGCCTGGAGCTCCGAAGAGTACTTCTCAGTGTTCCAGCAGCCTCAGACGTAGCATTCAGGAGGCTCTGCCACCTCTGTCTCCTATGCCTGTGCAACTGGGGAGGAGGAGGAGAAAGAGCCTCTGCACTCCAGCGGTAGCTGCTGCTACTTGGTGCAGGGCTTGTGGAAGGGTTGGTGGGATTTATCAGGGTTTCCTTGTGTTTCAGCCTCAGTCTTGGGCAGGCCTTGTTGGTCTGAGCCTCATGGGTGGGGCGTTATCAGGTGTTCTTTTTGGTGGAGGTCTTCATGGCATATCCTGTTTTTTTCTTCTATCTCTGTATACTATGTGGAGATTGATTTGAACATTGTTAGGAAAGGGCCCTTTCAAAGCTATTGCCATTTTTGTGTTAAGACGCTAGCATTCTACAGAGTGACCTTTGAAGAGTGTAGCCCTGACCCTGACCCTCTAATGTACCCTATGGCCCCCTCAGGTCAAAGTCTTTGAGCTCTACAGTCTCCTGCCTCTCATGCTGATCTTCCTTCAGTTATTTATTTGAGTCTTGTCCTTCTCCCAGGCCTAAACCATCGGTTTTGAGAGTAGATGTCTTTCTGTGTATTGCTAGAGGAACTGGGTGGGGCAGGAAACAGTGCTAGCACGCGTTAGGGGCCGAGCCTGCTGTCTTGAACGGATGAGAACCAGTACCCTGTTTTCTCTCTCCCTTGGAAAGTCCTTTGCTCCCCTGCGTTCCGGCAGGTGGACTCCAGCCCAGTCTCCAGGTTCACACACACAGAACAGGGAAGCATTTTACCCCTCAGTTGGGGGAGGGGCCTTTTTGGTGCCCCACCCACCATGCTGTGTCTGTCCATCCTGGCACATATAAAACAGTTCTGAAATTCCTGTGTGTCCCTCACTTCCTCCTCCTCGTTTCTTTGAGCAGCCACCGTCGAGCTGGGCTTGCTGCACCCTGCCCTGGCAGGCCGTTGGTGAGCATGCCCTGAAGCTTTGCCACACTGGTGTGGCTGCCCTAACTTGGGACCGATTCTGCACGTGCATGCCGATTTAAGATTTTTAAAGCTCCTTTTCCTGTTTTAGGGAGAACTGGGTCATCTCATTGCCCTCCGTGGATCAGAGGACTTGGGCTAGATAGAAGCATGTGGTGTCTCCTACGAGGCCTGGGCCGGCCCGGAGCCCTGGCACGGGGAGCCGTGAGGCGGCAGCAACCCCCGGGGGCCCGGACCCTGGCCAGCGCAGGCTCCGAGATCCGGGACGAGTACAGCTACGTGGTGGTGGGTGCGGGCTCGGCGGGCTGCGTGCTGGCCGGGAGGCTCACGGAGGACCCCGCCGAGCGTGTGCTGCTGCTGGAGGCGGGGCCCAAGGACCTGCGCGCGGGGAGCAAGCGGCTCTTGTGGAAGATCCACATGCCCGCGGCCCTGGTGGCCAACCTGTGCGACGGCAGGTACAACTGGTGCTACCACACGGAGGCGCAGCCGGGCCTGGACGGGCGCGTGCTGTACTGGCCGCGCGGCCGCGTCTGGGGCGGCTCCTCGTCCCTCAACGCCATGGTCTATGTTCGCGGGCACGCCGAGGACTACGAGCGCTGGCAGCGCCAGGGCGCCCTCGGCTGGGACTACGCGCACTGCCTGCCCTACTTCCGCAAGGCGCAGGGCCACGAGCTGGGCGCCAACCTGTACCGGGGCGCCGATGGTCCGCTGCGGGTGTCCCGGGGCAAGACCAACCACCCGCTGCACCGCGCGTTCCTGGAGGCCACGCAGCAGGCTGGCTACCCGCTCACCGAGGACATGAACGGCTTCCAGCAGGAGGGCTTCGGCTGGATGGACATGACCATCCATGAAGGTGTGGCCTCCCTTCCCTTCCACCTGCCTCTTCTCTTTTTAAAAGCACTGCTCCCTACCCCAGCACCCGCCCATGTCGGCCTAAGCTCCGGAACCCCTGGCTCCGGCATGGGCAGGCACACTGAGCCTGGCATGAGCGGGAAGGGATGTGGCTCAGTACACCCCAACAGAATACAACCCAGAGCCGTGAGCGATACACGATGGTGACCTCGGTGTTCTCTGCACCTCTGCCCCCCATTTGTGTGGATAATGGAGAATCGGCTCCCTGGACAGACAGCTCAAAGTCCTCTAGAGACTTGCAGATGGGGAAACTGAGGCACACTGAGTGGTGAAGGGCCTTGCTCGCAGCAGGGCAGAGGCAAGCCAGGGCTGACCCAGGGCTCCTGCCTGCCTCTTCAAGGCTCTTAGCCCTCTGGCCATGCTCCTAGTCTCTGTGTCTTCCTGTTTGAGGGTGAAGGGTACTTTTCCACCTGTGTCCAGGGACCCCAGGCAGCTGTGGACTTCTGTAGGGTAGGTTCTTTCTGTCCCAGCTTTAAAGGCAGGTCTTGCAGTCAGAGCTGGGCATATCCACTCTTTCCCCAGCTCCTTCCTTCTGCCCAGGTACCGGGGAGGGTGGGGCCATGCCTGACTACCTCACTCCGTCCTGCAGGCAAACGGTGGAGCACGGCCTGTGCCTACCTGCACCCAGCACTGAGCCGCACCAACCTCAAGGCCGAGACCCAGACGCTTGTGAGCAGGGTGCTGTTTGAGGGCACCCGTGCAGTAGGCGTGGACTATGTCAAGAATGGGCAGAGCTGCAGGGTGAGTGGACTGCAGTGGGCGCCTGGCAGAAGGGAGTGGGCAGTGACCCTGGTGGTCGAGCTCAGAGGCAGGACTCACACCCTCACCCCCAGCCCCATGTGCTCGTACCTGTGATTGGGGGGCGAGCAGCTGGTGGCAGTAGGCTGGTGGAGGTGAGGAAGCCCCCAGTCCGACCACCTGCAGAGGGCCCGTGGTGTCAGTGCCCCTGTGTGCACGCCTAATTCAGAGCCTTCCACACCATTTCAGGGCGCTGACCTCACAGGAAACTATAGGTTTATACTAGAGGTTTTGAAACCCATGTATGCGATCATACTTTATATTTCTGCATTGTTGGCAGGGGGTCAGATTGTTTTGCACCTTCACGTGTAGATCTGGTTTACTGCTTTAGACCACTCACTTGAATGTCTGCTTTCATTTATCTCATGTAAGCTGACCCCTCCTGTTTCTAAGGCCATTGCTACTATCTAGGTGTAGTTGCCCCTGCCGGTTGCTTTCAAATAGTGACTCAGTGAGCCTCCTCTCCTTGGCTCTGGGGCCTGTGAGCAGGTGCTGTATAGCAGTCACCATGTTCCGGCGTGCCACATGGATTCCACATCCCAAGGCCGTGTTCTCATGGTGCTGGTTAGAGCAGGACGCTGGTCTGTGAGTCAGGAGAAGAGCTGGCTTTTCGGGGAGTGTGAACCAGCCAGACCTCTGCTTCTTCCAGGCTTACGCCAGCAAGGAGGTGATTCTGAGCGGAGGTGCCATCAACTCTCCACAGCTGCTCATGCTCTCAGGCGTCGGGAATGCTGACGACCTCAAGAAACTGGGCATCCCTGTGGTATGCCACCTGCCTGGTGAGCCCCCTTCTTTATAGCTCCCCAGGGGCTGTCTCTGCTCAGCAAATGGCTTAGTATATCTTAATAGCATGGAGTGGGGAGGTGGTAGCAGTCAGTGCTCCTTGGAACTGTCACATCATCCTCATGAGCCTGAAAGTCTCCCAGGCTCACTGGACCCCGTCACCCCTGGGCCCAAGAGCCTTGTGTGTTTTCCCTCTCTCTTCCCCGGCCATCCTATTTCACTTGGAGAAGGGCGCCTTGCAGCAAGGAGCATCTGCCTGTGAAGTCCCCGCTGGGTCAGCCATGGGCGTGTCACCAGGGCAGCTCTATGGTGAGAGGGGTCCGGGCCCCGTCCTTCCATCTGCAGGACGCACTGGCTGCCTTGAGCATGAATGAGGTCAGCTCAGTGCTCCAGAGCCTGCTCTCCCTGTTAAGACCTAAATTTGGTTTCATAAACTGTCTCTCATGCCCTTGAGGGCCAGGCTCTGTCTCTTGCCCTCCCTGATAACCTCACTCCAGGAGGGCTGGGCCTTTGTGCCTTTAGGCTTTATCATTGCAGGGCCCGGGGAAGTGCTGCTTCATGACAGTGACCTGCCCAGTGTGCCCAAAGGCTTGGATGAACTCGTGCAAGGGCTGCATAGCACGACAGGGCTGCTTCTTCCTTCCCCACGCTGGGGCGAGGATGGGGCTGCTCTCTGCCCCTCTGGCCATCACCATCCAGCCACTGCTAACGAAGCAGTGCCTGCTGAATGTGTGGGCCCTGCCCTCATGGAGGGAGCTGCTGAGCAGGGCTGATAAGGAGCACCCAGAGGCTGCCCTGGGAGTAAGTGACAAGGACAGGCAGCCTTGGCAGCATCTGAGGCAGGCCATACTTGGCCAGGAGTTCAAGAATGGTGTCTCTGGGAGGCAGCCTTTAAACCGAGAACAGTCTTTAAATTGAGCTCCTGCTCGGTCCCGAAGATAAGTGAATAGGGGAGAATTTTTCAAAACCAGGGGGATACTGAGAAGCAGCTGAGCTCCCTTGGTAGCCATTTTCTTACTCATTCCCTCCCGTATCAGGGGTTGGCCAGAACCTGCAAGACCACCTGGAGATCTACATTCAGCAGGCATGCACCCGTCCCATCACCCTCCATTCAGCACAGAAGCCCCTGCGGAAGGCCCGCATTGGTCTGGAGTGGCTCTGGAAATTCACAGGTGAGCACACTTAACGGTAACCTGGGAGGAGACTGTGAGCATTGAGACCTCCTTCCTCAGGAGCTGAGCAAGGGTTCTGGCCACTGCATGCTGGGTTTGATGCTGAACTATGCCATTTACCTTAGCCCTGAGTCTCAGTCTTTCCATCTTCAAAATGGGGATGCACAGTTTCAACCCGACAGGTTGAAGCAAGGACCAGAAGCAATGGTCGTGCCAAGGAGCGTGGCCCAGGGCCTGCTCAAGGTGAGACTCCTCAGGGCTTAGGGGCTGCTCTTCCTTACAGATGGGCAGGGATGGCGTATTGCTACACAGCAGGTGAGGTCCAAGGAGCCGGGAGAAAAGGTGGAGAGAGGAGACTTGGGGGCTAGACTGCAGAATCAGCATTCCTCTTTCAACCTTTTCCATTTGAGTTCTAGCTGCACCTGGGCCAGGAAATGGTAGTTTGAAATCCTGCTCATCCACTCAGCCTGTATTTCTCACACACCTACTATGCACTGTGTGCTGTACTATGTGGTGGGAAGAGCCAGGAAAGCAGGTGGCATTGGCAGTGGCAGAATTGGCCCAGGTAGAGGGCAGAGCTGATGCCCCCACTTTAGGCAAATAGTTGACATTTTATGGTGTGGTGCTGGGTGAGCCTTCTGCTGAGGGTAAACTGATGTGGACAGGACTTGGATCCATTCACCAGGAGGAAAGCCAGGAGCAGCTGGCCCACCTGCCATGCCCTGACTGGCTGTTCTGCCTCATCCTCTTCTGCTCCACAGGGGAGGGAGCCACTGCCCATCTGGAAACAGGTGGGTTCATCCGCAGCCAGCCCGGGGTCCCCCACCCGGATATCCAGTTCCATTTCCTGCCATCCCAAGTGATTGACCATGGGCGGGTCCCCACCCAGCAGGAGGCTTACCAGGTGAGCAGGGGGAGGAGCCTTGGCTCCCCAGGGTGTTTCCTTCCCATCATCCAGGAAGGAAGATGCTCTCGTTTTCCAAGGCAGCATTCTCCCTGGTGCCACATGGCTGCAGAGTCGGGGGCATAGAAGCCTGTCCCCTGCCTTCCAGCTGTCCACCATGTCTGGGTGGAGAGAGGAGCAGGGAGGGAGGCCAGCCAGTCAGTCTTTGTGGTGTGTGCCAAGTGTATGACTGGTCCATGCAGACGAGGTCCCGAGTGCCAGAAATGGGACAAACGGGGGTGCTGACTTGGCCCTGGGATCACCACCTCTGAAAGCTTTCAGCCATGGAGTATGAGGCCAGGGATGAAAGAGTGATTCACCGACGTGGTTTGTAATTGCTTTGTGGAGGTGGGTACCATGTGGGCAAATGCTAACATGCCTCTGCTCCCCACTGACTCTGGAAGCAGAGGCCCACCCTGCAGGTAAACCAGGGTCGGTAGAGGTCACTGTGGATGTCTGTGGAGGGACCATCACTGCTTCCTCTGTGTTCTCCTAGGTACACGTGGGGACCATGCGGGGCACGAGTGTGGGCTGGCTGAAACTGAGAAGTGCCAATCCCCAAGACCACCCTGTGATCCAGCCCAACTACTTGTCAACAGGTAATTCAGCCACCTGCTTCTTCCTGGCCCTGGGCTTGAACAAATGAATGCCTTGTGAGGAGATTCCTGCTTGTCCCTGAATCATACCCTTGGACTACACTTTCCAAGACAAAAGTGCTCTCTGTCATCCTCCACCCCATCACTTCAGGCTGTAAACTTGCTTCGGCAGCCCTTTCGTGTCCTGGGACACATGAAATAATAACCCCGGGGCTTCATTTTAGACAGCATGGGAGATTTGCATCTTTCAGAACAATCTGCCACGAGGTGAGGGAGACCGAGCCGTGTGGGTGCCAGGTCTGTAGCTAGAGCATTGTTCCTGCTGTTACTCTGAGCAGCCTCTAAAAGCACATTCCATTGCTGAGTCTGCCTCTTTGTATGCAGCAGAAATGAGCACTGCCCACTGGGTGGGTTTTGCCCAGCGATGGCTGCAGGGTGCTTACAGCAACCCTGTGGCAGGGGCGGGGTGTGTGTTCTCATTCCTGTCCTACAGATAAGTCAGACCCCTGATTTCAACCTGGGCCTCTGGGCAGGCTGTGTCTGTGTAGGATGCTGCCTTTGAGCTGCACGGTACAGTCTAACCAACAGGTGACAAGCAGCCTGCTGGCTCAGTCCCCAAGGCCCTGAACTTTGTCCCCAAACATCATCTGCTCAGACAGCTTACGGAGCTTCTCCATGCCGTGAATCTTCCAGTGAGGACAGCATGGCGAAAGGAGGGGTTTTCACCTGTTTCTTCTCCTCAACAGAAACCGATGTCAAGGATTTCCGTCTGTGTGTGAAGCTCACCAGAGAAATTTTTGCACAGGAAGCCTTGGCTCCGTTCCGAGGGAAAGAGCTCCAGCCGGGAAGCCATGTTCAGTCAGATAAAGAGATAGATGCCTTTGTGCGGGCAAAAGCCGACAGTGCCTACCACCCCTCGTGCACCTGTAAGATGGGCCAGCCATCTGATCCCACCGCCGTGGTGGATCCACAGACAAGGGTCCTCGGGGTGGAAAACCTCAGGGTTGTCGATGCCTCCATCATGCCCAGCCTGGTCAGCGGCAACCTGAACGCCCCCACCATCATGATAGCGGAGAAGGCAGCTGACATTATCAAAGGGCGGCCTGCACTCTGGGACAAAGACGTCCCGGTCTACAAGCCCAGGACGCTGGCCACCCAGCGCTAAGACAGTTGCTGCTGGAGGATGACTGGGGAAGCCCCTGATGAGCCAAGAGGGCCAGCACAGCCCTTGTTCCCAGGCTCCTTCCAGAAACTGTCTAGCACCCTAGGATCCAGGTGGCTGAGAATGGCTACTTATCACACCTCTCCTTTTATCCCTACTCAGTGGCTGAGAATGGGACAAACTCTTGGGAAATGAGACAAATACTGCACAGTGGATCAAGCTCCTTTTCCCCAGACTTTTCTCTGTGGGCCGCTGGCAAAGGCCAGCATTCAGGCTGAGATGCTCCTCCCTGCCTCCTGGAGGGACAGCAGGGGAAGAGGGTTAACTCCTGCCATATCCTTTGTCTTGTGTTCACGTGGCGTTCTCTAACCCAGGGAGTGGTTCCTTCCCAGGGCATGTACAGAAGCTAGGTGCCTGCCAGATGTGCACAGGTTCACCAAGGAAGGGGCATTCTCCTCCTTGAGCTGCAAGCTTCAGCTGAGGCAGAGAGTCACACAGTAGTTAGTTCAGCCTGGGCTGGCACATAAGGCCCCGGTGTCCCTGATCAGAGGGGAAAGTTGCCTGCTGGCAGAAAAACTGGCTTTCCCTTTCTGCCTTCCTAATTTCACTCTTAGAGTCAGGCAGGTAACTGGGGCTCAGCTGGGTCACTCTGAGAGGGTTGTGGCCCACCTCTCTGAATCTCTGGTTCTTATTAAACCAGGGCCAGGTGTAGTGGCTCACACCTATAATCCCAGTACTTTGGGAAGATCACTTGAGCTCAGGAGTTCAAGACCAGCCTGGGCAACATAGTGAGACCCTGTCTCTGGAAAAAAAAAAAATAAAAAAAAATAAATTAGCTCGGCATACTGGTGTACACCTATAGTCCCAGCTACTTGCGAGGCCGAGGCTGGAGGATGGCTTGAGCCTAGGAGGTCGAGGCTCCTGTGAACCCTGATTGCACCACTGCACTCCAGCCTGGGTGAGAGAGACCCTGTCTCAAAAAAAAAAAAAAAACCCTGAGATTTTTTTGGACCTTATTCAAGGAGACAGGAGTCTGGAGGGAATGCCACTTGGCTTCACTACCGAAGGTTTCATGACTTAGCATTTTAAAAGGGTTTCCTTTTACCAAGAAATGCAGAAACCCAGAGCAAACCCCACATACCAGATCACTGCTTCCTACTGAAGCAGCTAGTCTGAGAAAGGACTCTCTCATATTGGGCTTGGGAAATGAGTTGGCAGCCTGAGCTGCCCCAGCAGTGGAAAAGGCTGGTTAATTCTTATTCTCTAGACGTGCACAAGAACAGACCAGGATGGAAAATGCAGTTAAGCGCAGTTTTAAGCACAGCCATGCACACCCTGTTCTTGTAGAAACGCCACTGAAAGAAGCATTCAAGATTGGAGTTTTGGAGGAAAAAAAGACACAAGTAGCATTTACAACAGCTCTTTGCTCTTTAAATTTCTTACCGTTCAATAAAGTAATCCAGTCACTTACATTTGAACTGAGACGCCTTCTCCAGACTGATCCGACGAGGTAATGCACATGAAATGCACTAGGATTCTTCCAAAGACACCCACATCTACCGTCAAGGGCTGGGAAGAAAAGTGTTGTTACATGGAAACCGCTGTACTAGGCCCAGAGTAAGGACAGGAGTGAATTGGGGGATTCCAGGCTTTGCTGGGATCGGAGGAGACTAAGGTGGCTTATAGACGCTGGGGGCCTGACAGCCACAACTTAGGTTTCTGAGGAAAGCCTTCTAGAAAGGCAGAATGGAGGAAACCCATCACACCTCTCCTTTTAAAAATCTTAAGCAGCTCTTGTTTAATCTTACCTGTATTTTTTATTTTTTGTTCCAAGAGAGGGTTCAAGAAAGAAAATTCTAAACCTGCCAAGAGACTTATTTCTCCTCCGGAGGGTCCCCACCTGCCCCACAGCAGCAGTCCATGGCCATCAGTCACCTGTGTCTCGGGGTTGCCTGCAGGCGTGCAGGAACAGCAGATCAGGTGCCAGTCCCAGGGCTCGGAGGGCCTCGTGCAGCCCTCCTGCTGGAGCATGTGTGGAGTCGGGGACAGGGGATGGTCCCAGGCCAGCCATGACTCTGCTGACCCTTATTCTTTGGAACACGTATGGATACGGCAGGGTGACAGTCACTTACTTCTATTATCTCTGCGTCCCATGGTATGTCAGCCTGTGAGACCATGGTCTGTTCAGTCCGGTGGCTGTATTTTAAAATAAGCAAAATGTCATGTGGTAAGAGGAGCTCATTGGGGGTTCTGTTCAGTTGCACCAGGCCCTCCTCTCTGAAATACTTAGTCATGTTCTATACGGTCGTACAATTTGGCCATAAACAGAAATGAGGTTCAAAAGAAAAGATGGTGAGTGTCACATGTCCAGAACCTGAGAGTTCCCCTGCCATGAGGGGAGCCTTTCAACCCAGGAGGAGAGGCTGTCAGCTGAGAAAGCCAGCATGGGGAGAAAGGAACTTGCTACAAAGTGGAGTGCACAGAGAGTCCCCCATCTTCAGTCTCACAGGGAATCAGGCCCCTTGGGGAAAAGCCTGCAGTACCTAAAAAACAGAAACGTGCTTTGCAAACAGTGATTCAAATAGCACAACAGAACGCTCTGCATGTGCCCAGGGCTCTCAGGAGCCCCGAGCTGTGGCAGAAGGCTGTGCTGAAGCTGCTGCACTAATAGAAGGCTGTTCTGATGGAACGGGGGACAGGGGTGGGCTGCATGGGGGCCAAGAGCATCTGCTAGCCCGACTAGAGATGGTGAGCTCCTGAAGCAGGAGTTGTAGGCAGCCAAGCATCTAGTCTTTCTGCTGGCAGCGTGCTTTGCAGGCATCATCATCTCCACGAATTCAAATAGATTCTTTTTGGCTGGACTTGGCTCACACCTGTAATCTCAGCACTCTGGGAGACCGAGGCGGGTGGATCACTTGAGACAGGAGTTCGAGACCCACCTGGCCAACATGGTGAAACCACATCTCTACTAAAAATACAAAAATTAGCTGGGGATGGTGGCACATGCCTGTAGTCCCAGCTGCTTGTGAGGCTGAGACAGGAGAATGGCTTGAACCTGGGTGGCGGAGGCAGCAGTGAGCCGAGATTGCACCACCGCATTCTAGCCTGGGTGATAGAGTGAGACTGCCCCCTCCCGCCCGCCCACGTGCCAAAAAAAAAACCCAACAAAAAACAGATTCTTCTCCAGCCAACCATGTCCCACCACTTAGAGGTGATTTCATGCTTCTACTGATAAGCCGGTTTAACATCGGTTCCAATACAGATTTTTTTAAAGCTAAAATGCCCATCTCTACTGGCCCTGTTTAGTGGCCTCGGCTGTCCCCACAGGACATCCCTGAGACCACCCTGTCACTCCCGATGTTGCAACCAGGGTGCAGGCCTGCTCATCATTCTCTCCTGCCCTCCCAGTCCCCAGGAGAGGAGAAGACATACTGTTTTAGAGAAATAAGAACCTTTTCAACAAAACATCCCTGGCATCAGTTTTCTAGTCAGGGAGTTGAGGCTCTGTGCATGTCAGCTCGACTGCTAACTAGTTTTTATAAACCAGCCAGATGCCCATCATAACAATAAAAACCTTTGTAGGAGATGAAATTAGCAAAGACACTTACGATGCCGATGAGTATACACGGTGAAACTGCTCCAGTTTTTTTTCACAGCAGGGTCAGTAGTAAAGCAAGGGGTGCCCCTGGTCCCGTTTCACAAAGGTAGGCCTGCACCGAGAGGTGCCTTGGCCCTCACAGCCCACCAGGCCTGGCCTTCGCCCAATTCTGAAACTTCTTAGGACAGAGCTGGAAAGGGACACCTGGCAAATTGCGGTCCAGCTGTCTGGGTGGATGTCGGAGTCCACAGGCTGAGCAGAGATGGTTCTCAGTGAAGTTCTCGATGCCAGTTGATGGTGAAATCGTAGCTGTCATTTACATTTTGTGAGATGATGAAAAACACAAGATTAAAGAACAATATATTATTCTTGTGGACACAAAACGTGTATTTTTCAGGCGGGGAAGGGAACCAAAAAGAAAAACCATTTCCTCTTAACACTTTCCTAAAACAAAGGAAAAAAACAAAAAACAAAAAACAACATGATCTACAACTTCAAATATTTCTTACAAAGAAAAATTTAATATTCGATGAGAGGTTGAACCAGGCTTAAAGCAGACAGATATTAGGAAGTGGTGCAGCCTGTAAAAACGCCAGTTTTTAAGCGCTGACTTTGGAAAAGATCGTCACCTCTACCAGGCACTCAGGGTCCTGGTCTGGCAATTTTGGCCTGATGAGAAGCCACACAGTAAGACCAACACCGTGGATCCAGCAGAGACACAGTGTCCAAGATAATGTTGACAGTGGTGTAGCCCTTTAGGAGAAATGGCGCTCCCTGCAGCTGGTATGAGGTTACCACGGGCACCGAAGGAGCCAGGAGGATAAGAGAATATCCGTCATTTCAGAGCTGCCCTGGCACAGTACCTGCCCTGTCGGAGGCAAACGCCAGCTCTGTGTGAGGAGAGCTCCCAGACATAACAAAATTATTACACAGTTTTATTCTGAAGAACATTTTGCATTTTAATAAAAAAGGATTTATGTCAGGAAAGCGTCCTTTACAAACCTTGAAGTGTTTTTGCCTGGATCAGAGTAAGAATGTCATAAGAAGAGGTCTGTAAGGTCTTCATAACAAAGTGGTATTATTTACAAAAAAAAAAAAAAAAAAAAAAAAAAAAAAAAAACAAAACAAAATCATTAACAGGTTGTCTGTATACTATTAAAAATTTTAGACCAAAATTGCTACCTATCTCTTTGATTGCAGGGAATCCCTGCCAAGGTAACTTGACAGTCAGCTTACTCCTGTTGACAGAAAGGGAAGCCTTGACCGTTCTAATTATCCAAAAGTGGGTTTTCATCAGAACATACAATCAGAGTGTGAGTGCATTCTCATGAAAACTTCAGCCCTCGTTCAATTGCATATAAAAGTCCTCAAAGAACACACAGTACAGCAATGTTGTATAAAAGGCAACAATACGATTTGTATAGACCCCAACATTCCAATCCTATAGATCACCATGTTGCTCCTTCCATCCCCCTACCCCAGCACCCCTTATTTCTAAAGCAGCACCACCAGTCCCCAGAAGACAAGAGCAGCTGTACCTCATTCATCTATGCATTTGTGCACCAGAGATGCAAAAACGCCCTGTGTGGGGAGCAGAGAAAACCCTAACTACGGATGCCCTAGGGGCAGAATAGCCGGCTGGACCTGCTCTGTAATTAACTTACCAGAGGGTTGTTCATGTCAAACAAAACCAAAGATAGCTGCAACCCACCGCGGATCCAAAGGTACAGTATCA